CCACCACTGCCGCCACCACCACTCCCACTGCCGCCACCACCTCCGCCACCACCGCCACCTCCACCGCCTCCACCGCCCCCACCAGCGCCTCCACCGCTGCCACCCCCACCACCCTTGCCTCCCTTGCCCCTGCCGCTGCGGCGTCTCCCACTAGGAGCAGACGCAGCTCCTACCTCCTCAGCACGAAGGTAGTCAACAGCAGCAGAAGAAGCGACTGAGGGGACAAGGGGGGAGGGGGAACACCCCTCAAAGAAGGGAGTGCGAGGAGGGCCACGAGAAGCGCCTACAGCGACTATGCTGGTCTCAGCTGCAAGGAGGTGCTTCTCGAGCAGGTTGACAATGAGGTCTGTAGGGTTAAGGGTGAGAAGGAGGTCCCTGACTGCGCTAAGAGATTCAGGGAGGCGGGTGACGATGAAGTAGAGAGCAATGTACATGGGAGGGGGGTTCTTGGCTAGAAACTCGGTGGGAAGCGCGGCACGGTAGCGAGTGTCACTAGTACAAAGGTGAGTGATGAGGTCGACAACTCTGGCAAAGGCGGACAGCTCGGGAAACAGGTAGGGCAGTATAAGGCGGCCTAGAGCAGCAATGGTCGGGGAGGAGTAACGAGCGACTACAGCGTCGTACAGGGCTCTAGCAGTCTTGTGCTGTCCAAAGTGAGCACGTTCGGCTAACGGCAGGTGGTTGCGAACGGCTAGGCGAGCAGCAGCGTCACGGGTAAGCCACTGTGACCGAGTCGCACTGTCAGCTGTGGCGGGAGGGGCGAGAGAGGCTCCAGACGTGAGGTCAAACAACGAAACGCCGTCCCTAGAATCGCTCAGTAGGTACAGCTGCAGGTCATCTAGCCACGCATCGAACTCAATCGGACGGCCCTCAGGATCGAAGGTGAGGACGCTGAGGGTAGCCATAGCGGGCAGAGCAGTGGGGCGTGCTAGCAGCAGGGCAGCACGCAGGTAGGGCAGGGCAGGGCGGCGGTCAGAAGGGCGGCGCTCAGACAGGGCAGGGCAGGGCGGCGCGGCAGCGTGCGGCGCGCAGGCAGGGCAGGGCGGCGCGGCGGCGAGCGGCGCGCGGGCAGGGCAGGGCGGTGCGGAGGCGAGCGGCGCGCGGGCAGGGCAGTGCGGCTCGGTGGCGAGCGGCGCGCGGGCAGGGCAGGGCGTGTCAGAATCCCAACCATTAGACCACTGGGATAAAAGGGCTTGTTAAGTAGCGGGTCAGTGCGCCCATAACCCCCCAGGACAACGAGCCTGTAACCCTTCCCTAGGATCAATCGGGGATCACCAGTGGACCTCTGACACCCCCCCGCACTGGGATGCCCGAAGTGCACACACTGGGATTCGAACCCGAGACCTTCGCTCTGATAGCATGTCAGAATCCCAACCACTAGACCATTGGGATAAAAGGGCTTGTTAAGTAGCGGGTCAGTGCGCCCATAACCCCCCATGACAACGAGCCTGTAACCCTTCCCTAGGATCAATCGGGGATCACCAGTGGACCTCTGACAGGGCGGCGCGGCGGCGAGCGGCGCGCGAGCAGGGCAGGGCGGCGCGGCGGCGTGCGGCGCGCGGGCAGGGCAGGGCGGCGCGGCGGCGAGCAGCGCGTGGGCAGGGCAGGGCGGCGCAGCGGCGAGCGGCGCGCGGGTAGGGCAGGGCAGGGCGTGCGCGGGCGGCACGACGCAGGGCAGGGCGTGCGCGGGCGGCGCGACCCAGGGCAGGGCGCGCGCGGGCGGCGCGACGCAGGGCAGGGCGCGCGCGGGCGGCGCGACGCAGGGCAGGGCGTGCGCGGGCGGCGCGACGCAGGGCAGGGCCTGCGCGGGGCGGCGCGACGCAGGGCAGTGCGCGCGCGGGGCGGCGCGACGCAGGGCAGTGCGCGCGCGGGCAGCTCGACGCGGGGCAGGGCAGGGCAGCGCGGCGCTAGCAGGGCGGCGCGACGGGCACGGCAGAGCAGCGTGCGGCCTGCAGGGCGGCGCGACGGGTGGGGTAGCACGATACGGGCAGCGAGCTATACGGTGGGCCCTAAAAAAAAACGGTCCTAGGAGAGGACCTGCTCTGAAACCATGTCAGAATACTACACGAGAATGAATGAACTAGAAACAGGGTGGGTACAAGTACTAACCCTAATTGGGTTGTACCCCATATGGGCTACCCCACTACAGCCTACAGAACACACACAGCATGATAGTTTGATAGATTGACTTCCTCGAAGCCCACTTCCATTATGACATCGTGTATAAGCCGAAGAACAAGAACAAAGCAATCCACTCAGTCGCCCTGCACACATTGCCGCCCTAGAAGTCGATGGCATGAACCCACTCTTGAAGGGACTCTTCACGCATGGATACACCATAGACCCCGAAGCTTCCCTAGCAGAGAAACGACATCTCCTGCCAGGACATCGCATACCGGAAAGGATCAACAAAAATATGGGTACCTCGTTGCCCCCCTTTACGCTAGCTACTACTCTAATAATATCATGACGTTCTCTACGCGGGCTTCTTCAGTAGTAGCAAGACACTTGCCAGTATTGCAAAGCATTATTATTGGCCCGACATGGCGGATGACGTACAAAAACTTGTCACATCGTGCGACACCTACCAAACCTCAATCGTGCAACTTAAGTATGCGGGTCACTTTCTAATTTGAAGGACAACTGCGGGTCTATCAACGCTCACCGCACCATGCAAAGAGAGACTCTGCACAGGTGGGAGCTAGACTACGGGAAAGCATGGGTGGTACGAGTGATCGTAGCATTTGCTTGTGTTCACTCTACTTGCGCATTCACACCGAGAATTGGCAAGATTTTCACTAGCAAAACAAGAATACATAATGATAGCAATTGCAATGGCAAAGTTACTACATCTGAGACCTAGCAGCCTAGCGACCAGGCTGGTTGACCTCCAGCGCAGCACGGGGGGCAGCTTGCCAACACTGCAGGTCGACGATATGCCAGCGCTGCATAAGTGCAGCTTCCCAACGCTTCAGTAAGGTGGCCAGTGAGCGTTGCAACCGCAGGTGATAATTGCGCAGACGCGCACTCAATTCGCAGGTGCTTGTAAGCGGTTGAGCACGTCGTGCCCCAACCCGCTCGTTGCGCAAGAGCCAAGTCGGCCACGTGCCGACAGTTGCGCCAGATGCTCCATGTCAACCTTGGGACACCATCTTGTAGGTCGACTTCGCCAAAGCTTGTAGAGGCTAAATTCGCACACTTGCCGAGGTTCGTAGTCGAGCAGTTGCAATTGACCCGTTCGATGATGCTCGGCCGAACAGCGTTCTGTCAAAATAAGTTATATAATTTGTGTAGTTCTAGTCTAGGTGTGCTATGTTGTGTAATATCTGTCCTAGCACTAGGGTTAGGTGTTTCCTACATATGCTTGTTTGTTCATTGCTAATCATTATTCATTGTTCCGTTCTCTCATTGACAAGGTATAGAGCCAGTTTTTGTTCCCACGGGCCCACCGCCTCACACCCCGCTCATCGCTCATAGCTCATAAGCGCCTTGTAGCTCGACGCTCTGATGCGCCCTGTAGCCGACACGCCCCGTTCTTTTGTACGCACCCATCATGGCTCCCGTTCGTGCCTTTGCAAGGCCCTCGCGGGCCCTTCATTCGCCCCGTAGCATCCCATAGCACGGCCCCTCCAGCCCTTCGTTCGTCCCGTAGCATGGCCCCCGTGCGCCCTTCGTTCACCCTGTAGCGCACCCCCCGCGAGCCTCTTATTCGTCCTATAGCGTGCCCCCCCGTGGGCGCTCTCGTCACGACCTAGGTCACGCGTCACCCATCGTCCGTCGCCCGTAACCCTAGTGACCGTCGCCTGTCGCACGTAACCCTTGTACTCGCGCCCGTCACCCGTAACCCTAACTCTTCGCCTCTGCCCATCGCGCCCGTCGCCCGTCCCTCGCCCTAGTGCATACCCGCGCATTGCTGTAACTGATGATGCTGGCATTAGCAGCAGCAGCAACTGCTGCTGCTGCTGCAGCAGCAGCGCGCAGCTCGCCAGCACAAGCAGCAGCAGCGCGACACCAGCAGCAGCAACAGCTAGCACCAGCAGCAGCAGCTAGCGCCAGTAAACAACAACTAGCACCTACAGCAGCAGCCAACACCTGCAGCAGCCGCCCGTGCCTTTGCCACGTTCTGCTCGACCACTCCTCACCGCACTAGACTGCCCCCCACCACACTAAACCACACCTAACTGCACTAAACCGCATCCGACCACACCCAATCGCATCCGACCGCACCCGACCGCATCCGACAGCACCCGACCGCACCCGACTGCACCCAGCCTTACCCTACCGCACCTGACCACTCCTAGTCGCTCCCAACCGCACTAGACCGATCCCTACCGCACTAGACCACGCCCAACCACACCCAATCGCACCCGGCCACTCCTAGCCGCTCTCGACCGCTCCTGACCACCTCTAGTTCCAGCCATGGCGTCCGCTAGAGTTCTACAGCAGCAGGGCCAGTGAAAGGATCGAGGAACTGGTTCAGAATGAATTGATTGATCACCTGGGTACAACACGAGGCTATATATAGTGTCAACACAAGGCAAGGTAACTAGGTGTTACGCGGAGGTTCCGAGGGTCGCAAAGCGTCCAGAATAAATCCTGCCCGAATTCGGTAGAAACCGTTTGGTGTGAACCGGATAGCACCGAATTCGGTGCACGCACTCCTAGTTCGGTGCCTATAACTATAATAAATATAACAAAGCACCTAAACCTAGGAAATCAAGCAAAATCATGCAAGAAAAATAAACCTAAGCTAGATAAAGCATAATAAAGTAAAGGCAAGCAAGCAAAGCCTAGCAAAAGCCGCATTGGTGCAGGAATTGCCCTCCTGCTGTGGTCAGACTCAGACCCAGAGTCTCAGAATCGAAGTCAAAATTTATGTCCATTGCTCTGTTGCTCGCAAAACGCTCATGGAGAGCTGAAGCTCCTTGCTTACCTCGCTGCTATCGCCACAACTGCCAGTGCTTTCGGTGCTGCCCCTGCTGCTGCCCTTCACTTTGTTTATGGGGATGACGCAGCCCATTTGCCACCCCCACAACGAGACACGCCTTCTTTTCCTTACCCTCCCCCTCCCCCCCTCCTCCCCTCCTCTTGTGTTCCTCCCTCACCCCCAACCTTTCCCCCTTTCTCAGCTCATCACCTTCGTCCCTAAGATCTTCATCAACACGTTCGTCCTCATCGACCCCAGCGGCGCCCCCATCCTGCGCTACAACAAGACGCACCTCTTTCCCTCTGTGGAGGATGACGTCCTGCCGGGCTCCGGTTCCCTTCCCGTGGTGGACACAGAACTAGGGAGAATGTCTGTGGCCGTCTGCCTTGACATGCAGTTCCCTGCGCTCATCCGCCAGGCTGGCAGACAAGGGTACGTGCGTGTCTGTGCAAAGCCATGCCTTGTCTTCTTGTTGCATGTGGTGAATCTGTGAGTGGTGATTCGGGTCTGAGCCTGCCGTTCTTTTCAGCCTGCCATTACCATCTCCCTCCACTACCCCCACACAGAGTGGGAATCTCCCCATGGCCATGGGGGAGCATAGGCCCATGACGTAAAGGAGTGCCAGCGGCCAATGCATGCACTCCCATGCTAAGCCATCCCCACTTTTCTCCCATCCGTATAACGACCATTGCCCACCGCCACCCACAGAGTGGATATTCTGCTGGAGCCCAGCTGGTCGTGGGGCGCCACAGGCCACCTGCTTTCTGATGGAGACGCAGTGAGGGCGGCAGAGAATGGCCTCACTCTTCTACGCTGTTGCTCCGTTGGGGTGTCAGGGGTTGTCTCTCCTCACTAACGCACCCTTACTGCACGGTGCGTGCCCGTGCTACTGTCACTGTTTCTTGCTGCTAGAAGATTATGCCTCCAAATGAGCCATCTCAAAACGTCCTCATCCCATTCGCACGTCCGTTAATTAGTTTCCGCACACATACAACCATTCCCGTTTATTCATTTCTGCAAGCATACAACTATTAGGGCGCGCTGCAGCTGTGATTTTTAATTCGAAAATTCCGCAGAAGATTGAGATTGTTTGGGATTTTTTCAGAAGTTCGGATTACTGTGCGTTTGGCTTCTAGTGCACTGGTTTTTGTCTTATTAGAACAGTGTTACTGTTACGAAACTAACGAAATATTTACGAAGCTAACGAAATACACGCGACGCATGGACGAAATTGACGATTGTGCTATGTGATGTATACAGTGTCCATGCGACCCCACTTTTGGTCGCATGGTTGGTGGGAGTTTGGGTTCCCCAAAACATATTCTTGGTGCAGTTTACAAAGGGTGCCGGTATTCTGTGTTTTTTTGTGTTCAAGCTCGACAATACCCAAACGCGTGCAAGTTCGCCCGAAACCCGCTCCAAATAAATTTCGAATTAAAATTCACAAGTGCAGCGCGCCCTTAGCCCATCCATTCATTCATTTCCGCACACATACAACCATTTTCCCTCCCGTTTATTCATTACCGCACTCACACCGGTACATCCATTTGCCCTGCCATCCCTTATCCACTCTGCTTCTTGTGTCTGCCCCAATCACCCTCTGCTCTTCAGGGAAGGGCTAGCTTCTGGGACGCTCTCAATGCAACTGCCCCGCCTGCCCCATGCCCCAGCGCTCTACCCCTTCATTGGCCTACCCATCTCCCTCCTCCTCTCCCTCATGTCAAAGTATATGCATGTTATATATGTGTAGGCTGTAGTGGGGTAGCCAATATGGGGTACAGCCCCTTTTAGGGTTTCATATTTGTACCCAATACTTTCATAGTTCAATCATTCCTGCTGCTAGATTTTAACATGGTTTCAGAGCACTAGGTCCGTAGGACCGTTTTTTTTTTTTTTTCGGGCCCACCTACCGTTGCGGTTACCGCGCTACCCCACGTGTTGTCCTGCGCCTGCCTGCCTGCCTGCCTTGCCTTGTGACGTGCTGCGCTGCGCGCGCCGTCCTGCAGCCCTCGCACTGCCTACTGCTGCCCTAGGCCAGAGCGCCGCCCCTGCAGGCCCGTAAGGCCCGCGCGCCGCCCCTGCAGACACGTCAGGCCCGCGAGCCGCCCCTGCTGACGCGTCAGGCCAGGTCGCCGCCCCGCGCGTCGCGCTCACAGCCCGCGCGTCGCGCTGCAGCCCCGCGTGTCGCGTCCGCTGCCCGCGCGTCGCGCTGCAGCCCCGCGCGCCGCGGCTGCCGTCCTCGCGCAGCCCGCGGCGGCTTCGCGCGCCGTGCCCGCAGCTCACGTAGCGCGCTGCAGCCCCGCACGCCGCGGCTGCCCCTGTTCATCGCTCCTGCAGCAGCTGCCGTGTAGCGCCCTGCCGCCGTCGCGGCCCTGCCCTGCAACAGCTGCCGCAGCTGCCGCGGAGCCTCCTGCCGCGGTCGTGGCCCCGCCCTGCAGCAGCTGCCGCGGAGCCTCCTGCCGCCGTCACGGCCCTGCCCTGCAGCAGCTGCCGCGGAGCCTTTTGCCACCGTCGCGGCCCTGCCCTGCAGCAGCTGCCGCGGAGCCTCCTGCCGCGGTCGCGGCCCCGCCCTGCAGCAGTCACGTCCCCGCCCTGCACCAGCTGTCGCGGACCTGCCCTACCGCCGACGCGGCCCTGCTCTGCCGCAGCTGTCGCGGCCCCGCCGTCGCCGCCGTCGTGCGCCTGCCCTTCTCGCCACTGGAAAGCACCTGCCTTGTTCGCGCACTGCCGCGCCGCCTGCCTGCCTGCCTGCCGCGCCTGCCCTGCCCGCTCTGCTGCTGCTGCAACTACTGCTACTGCTGCTACTGGCGGTGGCCAGATGCAGCTCCAGCGACGTCCACGCGAGTCTCTCCCGCCCCAGCAGCTTCGTGAGTGGTACGCTAGTTGGGGTTGTGGCGGTAGCCGTCGTAGCTGTCGCCCTGGAGCTGGTCAGTTGGGAGCGTCTGGCAGTGGCCAGCTGCAGCTGCAGCGGCGTCCATGCGAGACACTTACGTCCCAGCAGCTTCACGAGTGGTACGCTCAGAGTAGAGGGTCTCGGAGTACCGTTCGCTGCCCGTACGTCATTCGCACAGGTGATCGGGCTGGTCAGGCTTGCGGGACGCTTGGTCACACACAGTCCCGCTGCTTCGCCCGTCTGAGCGACGCCTGGCGTACCGAGTTTGGCGACGAGGCTGAGCTCCCCACCTGGCTGGAGCTGCTTGGGCAGAGGGTAGATATCTTTGCTCTTGACTATGATGCTATTCTCACTGCCATGTATGCATTGCCTACTAGTTCTGACCGTGCCTGTTCCCTGTGCGTACCGCCTGACCCAGGTATAGAGCCTGCTGCTCTAGGTGATGGTGAGGCTGCTGCTCTAGGTGCTAGTGCGTCTCCTGCTCTAGGTGCTGGTGAGGCTTCTGCTCCAGGTGCTGGTGAGTCTGCTCTCTCTGGTACTGTGACTGCTGAGGCCTTGTACACCTTCACACTTGACTCAGGTGCTTCTCGCTCCTTCTCTCGCGACAGCACCACCCTCACGCCGCTCCGTCGGCCGGTTTCAGTCTCCCTGGCAGACCCCTCTTGGGGTCCAGTCCTTGCGCACTCCTCCACGGTCCTGCCGTGTCCGGCGGTCCCGTCTGGCTCACTGTCGGGACTCCACCTCCCCTCGTTCTCTACGAACTTGGTGAGTGGAGCTGACCTCCAGGACGTGTGGGTTGACCAGTTCACCCCTGGAGGTCAGCGCGTGACCCACTGTACGTGCTCCCGGACGGGCCGGCACCTGGCCACGTTTACCCGTACGCCTGGCTCGAGTCTGTACACACTGACTACTGTGTCCCCTCAGGTCGCTGCGTCTGCGTCTGCGTCAGGTCAGCTAGCGGCCCCCTGCTCGTGTCGCGCTTTGTCGCACCAGACCCTCCTTTGGCACCACCGCCTTGGTCACCCCTCGGTGCAGCGCCTTCGTAGCATGCACCGCCGTTTCCTTGTCTCTGGACTTCCAGAGACTCTGCCTCCTCTACCACCCTCGCCTGCTCCTCCCTGTCTTCCCTGTGTCGAGGGGCGGCAGCGCGCCGCTCCTCACTCCTCCTCGTTCCCTCCCACAGAGACCTTGCCCACACTGCTGTGGACGGGGAAGGTTGGCGATGCGTCGCGTTTCCGGGTCTGGGGTGCTCGTGCCTTTGTCCGCGATACCACCGCGGACAAGCTCTCCGCCCGCGCTGTTCCATGTGTCTTCCTTGGCTTTGTCCCTGACGCGCCTGGTTGGCAGTTTTACCACCCCACCTCGCGTCGTGTCTTCCCCTCTCAGGACGTCACGTTCGACGAGTCGGTTCCCTTTTACCGTCTCTTCCCCTACCGCACTGCCCCTCTCCCCCCCCCCGCCGCTCTTCCTCGCTCCAGGTGCTCCCCAGGTAGACCCCCTCCCCGCTCCCGGTCCTGCTCCTTCAGGTGTGTCTCAGGTAGACCCTCCTCCCTTGACTGAGTCGGTTGAGGTCACTGGTGACTCAGGTCCTGCTGAGGATGGTCCTGCTCGGGGTGCTGCTGCTAGGGGTGCTGAGCCTGGGGGTGCGGAGCCTTGGGGTGCTGAGCCTGGGGGTGCGGAGCCTGGAGGTGCGGAGCCTGGGGGTGCGGAGACTGGAGGTGCTGAGCCTGGGCGTGAGGAGTCTGGGGGTGCTGAGCCTGGGGGTACTGAGTCTGGGGGTGCTGCACCTGGGGGCGCTGAGGCGTCTGGTGAGCAGTCTCCCTGGAGCGGCCGTCTCCGTAGTCGCTCCGCTGGTGCCTCGCCGCTGCACTCTCGTCGTCGTCTCCCTCTCTCCCCTCGGCAGCTGCGTGAGTGGTATGTCAGCCGTCAGGGTCGAGCTGCTGGAGCTAGGGGCCCTGCTGCGGGAGGCGCTGGAGCTGGTGGATCTGCTACTGGAGTTGTTTCTACTGGAGGCCCTGGAGCTGGAGGTGCCGGTTCTGGGGGTGCTACTGCTGGTGGCACTGGAGCTGGAGATTCTGGAGCTGCTGCGGGTGCTGGCGCTGGAGGTTCAGGAGCTGTTGGAGGTGCTGGCACTGGTGGCGCTGGAGCTGGAGGTTCTGGAGCTACTGCGGGTGCTGGCGCTGGAGGTTCTGGAGCTGTTGGAGGTGCTGGCGCTGAGGGTTCTGAGTCTGCTATTGCGCGGTCTCCTTGGAGTAGCCGCCTCCGTCCGCGTGTGCCTCTCACCTCACAGCAGCTGCACGACTGGTACGGTCGCCGTCAAGGTCGCACTTCTGGAGCTCGGGGCTGTGCCGCTGGAGGTACTTCTGCTGACGTCATTGGAGCTGGGAGTGGTGCTGGTCCCGGAGGTGCTCGTACTGGAGGTACTGGAGCTGCTGGGGCTGGAGGTGCTGAGCTTGAGGGTGTTACTGCTGGAGACCCTGGGTCTGGGGGTGCTGCTGCTGGAGGCCCTGCGGCTGGAGACCCTGGGACTGGAGGTGCCGGTTCTGGGGGTGCTGCTGTTGGTGGAGCTCGTCCTAGAGGAGCTGGCGCTAAGGGTTCTGGAGCTGCTGGAGGTGCTGGAGCTGCTGGGGGTACTGGAGCTGTTGGTGCTGGTGTCACTGCACAGCCGCGCCTTATCTTCGCTCCACCGTCTCCGTCGTCTCGGCCACCGCCTGACTCTGTGCTTCGCCAGGTTCTTAGTCTCCCTTCGTCTACTGGTCTTCCGTTACAGCCTGGCTCACCGCTGCCTGCTCCTTCTCCTTACACTGAGCAGTTAGGGGGTCTTACAGAGCGTCGTGAGCCTGCGTCGCGTCCTGTCTCGCCTGTCTGTTCTGGTCGTTCCGGTCGTCGTGTTCCTCGTCCGCGTCTGCCGGCTGTCCCCGACACCCACCTCGTAGTCCGTCGTCCTTCCTCTCCTCCGCAGC